ACCCAGCCGCCGATCACGACTTCTGGAAAAGCCAGCCCCCTCTTCAAATTCTGTCTTCCTCCACCTTCCCCCTTCACCCTTTCCCTCCGCCATTTTGTTTAACCATATTATATTCCTTCTTCCTTCTCACCTTACTGTCCTCCTTGTCCTTCTCTCTCTTCCTCTGTCTCTCTTGCCTTTCCTTTCTGATTTATTTTCTCTCTTAAATTCTCTCTTCTCTCTATCTCTTTTATCACTTATTTTTTCCGCTCTGCCAAACTCCCTGGACATTGCCCTTTGACTTGGCCCATCATCTTCGATTCAGCACACACCTCAGGCTTATAGGGGGAGAGACTGTAACCCCTTGTCCCGCGGGTTCACAAACATTTCACACAATATTACATAATCATCAACCTGGACTTAATTCTTATACTCATCGCCTCCCCGCCTTCCTAGCTCGGTAGAGATCTGACGTTAACCTCTATCGAGCTAGGTAAGATAAAACACTTCTCTTTTCTTTCACCTTTTCTTATTGGTTTCATTTCATTTCTTTCATCTTTTCTTAATTATTCTCAATAGTGTATATACGGGGAGAGATCTGACGTTAACCTCTATCGAGCTAGCTCTTCTTTTGAAATCTATCTTTGGTCCTAGAATTCTCTCCCTCAGGCTATTGAGCCTGTTGTAATGTAACGGTAGTGCAGGGCTAGAACGTAGCCCTTACAAGGACCAGGGCTATCCCATAGGACCCAGGCATGGGTCCTATGGGATAGCCTATAAGTGTTTAAAAAAAATTCTGTCAATCCTTTCAGGACACCGTCGGGTGTCCTACAAGGTCAACAACTGGCCGGTGAGGCTGTACAACCTCGCCGACCAGGAGGGAATGCTCCTGGCCGGCGAGGCTGTACAACCTCGCCAACCAGGAGGGAATGCTCCTGGCCGGCAAGGCTGTACAACCTCGCCGACCAGGAGGGAATGCTCCTGGCCGGAGAGGCTGTACAACCTCGTCGACCAGGAGGGAATGCTTCTGGCCAGCGAGGCTGTAAAACCTCGTCGACCAGGAGGGAATGCTCCTGGCCAGCGAGGCTGTACAACCTTGCCGACCAGGAGGGAATCCTCTTGGCCGGAGAGGTTGTACAACCTCGTCGACCGTTGTTGTTGTCAAATAAATCAAACATCTCAGTCCTGAACCTCCCAAAAAAAACAATGCCAAGCCGTTCTTGGGGTTTGATAATTTGACGATGTGTCTGATCCAAACCAAGCTTTTGGATCTTAGTTTACTGAATCAGAAATCTGATTTGTTTTGAAATATATTGATCCATGGTTGAGTTATACATACATGTCTGGTAGAAGTGAACCTGTAGGACTTGAAGCACAAACATTGATTAGATCTCTCTTATGCAGTGTTGACCGGGAGGGAACCTCGCGGCCAGCCAGGATTCCCTCCTGGTCAACAAGGTTGTACAGCCTTGCCGGCCAGGAGGATTCCCTCCTGGTTGACAAGGTTGTACAGCCTCGCCGGCCAGGAGCATTCCCTTCTGGTTGGCGAGGTTGTACAGCCTCGCTGGCCAGTTGTCGACCTTGTAGGACACCGGCGGGTGTCCTACAAGGATTGACAGAATTTTTTTCAAAAACTTATAGGCTATCCCATAGGACCCATGCCTGGGTCCTATGGGATAGCCCTGGTCCTAAACCCATACTAATATGGGTTTAGGACCTGCACGCCAATCACACCAATCAACCTTGCTGCAGATTGGCGTGCAGGCCTGCATGCTAATCTGCTTTGGCATGTGGGCCTGCACGCCAATCTGCAAGTGGCGTGCAGATTGGCGTGCGCGAGGGGGGGTTGGCTTGCGCTTATCAACCCCCTCCCCCGGTACACACTGGAAATGCTCCCACATGGGTAGGTTACACAGAAGCCGGGCTGCCTGCTTGGCAAAAAGCATTGTTCCAAAGCAGGCTAAGACCCCTGCTGAAATCCCTCGTGATCCTGTTATTGTGCAGGTTTTTCTGGAAAATAAAAAAAAATGTAGGGTGTTGTGGGGACAAGGGGGACCCATGAGACAATCTGGCAAATGTCATTAGAAGCATCCCCATCATTTTCTGTGATATACAGGGCAATAATAACAGATTTGCCAATGGCATAGGAAACCAGGGAAATATAAATGGGATAACATCATGCAGTTTTTTGTGGATTTGGCTGTGTTCCTGTTTGGTTGCTGGTAAATGGCCTAAAATTTGAGATTAGGGCCAAGGAGACTTCATAAGCTGCTTTGTTAAGGCTCAATTTCCTGATAGAGAACTCACAAGGCTCATGCTTCTAATTCAACCAAAAATGATTGAATTTCTTGCTTGACAATTACCCAAGTGCAACAGAAGGCATAGGTCACCGTTGCCCCTAAGATTGTTAAACCGCTCCATAATGTTGATACGTCACAGAAACCCTCCATTGGTTCCAGCCATAATGGCTTCAAGATTAGAATCTCAATTGGGGAGCAGACTTGGTTTTGGATGTTGAAAGCGGACAAATCAACATAGGTTTGGCGGCAATAAATCCATGTTGCTAACAACATTGCTAGTCAAAAACTTCTTCTCAAAAGGAGATCTGAGATGGATTTGAATGCTGTGAACAATGAGGAAGAAGGAGGTAATCAACTGATTGTTCAATCAAGTGTAGAACATGAAAGTTGATTACTGAAAGTTGATGGCTAGAAGCCAACTGACCGTTCGTTGCAAATGAGTCTACACTTAAGAAAAAAGTCCAATAACCAAATTATTGGCTTTTTGGGACAACAGATTTGGATGAGGATAGTACCGAGAAAAAAAATTGTACACACATACGATTACAACCAATCCTTTGTTTGCAAATGCACTGGTGTCAGACACTGAGGCTATAGCCCATGTGTCTACAATGTGAATATATAAGTACAAACAGGCTAGTGTAGTGGTTAAGAACTGTCTTAAGACAATTCTTACCAACACCCCTGTGTTTAATCCCCCTTAACACTCTATTGTATTTTTATTCATTCTTTTTTATATTTTTTCTCCTAAGTAATTCCGTCGAATAACTTAGTATTTTCCTCTGTATTAATATTCCTTTATTACAGAGATGCTAACTTATGTACATAAAGTTTATTTTTCTCTCTCTCTAAGTATATTCTGTAATTAGAGAGATTACTACACTTTGGGAATTGATTAATTTATTCCTCTCTGTATGGATTTCCCATAGAGAGAAATGATGTCATTCCCTCCACTTTTGATGTAATCATAATTTAAATACATATTCTGATCATTTATGATTTAAATACATAAAATGATCATCTGTGGACCTGTCCGGTCCAACAGGCAGTTTGAACCCTGCCTTGCAATACTTAAGGGGGAGGGTTTTCCCTCTAGGATTCTTCCCCCCAGAGATTATTGCCATACAAACCCGTTATCCTTACTTAAATTAAGTGAGTGGGGTTTTTTATAATCTATTACAACTATTACAACCCTCCATCCACCTTTCATCATCTCCCTCTATTCCCTAGACTACAGTAAAGTCACTACTGTAGCCTAGAAGAGAGTCTTAAATACTCTGAGCTTGGCACCTTGAAGCTCATTCCAAGAGTGTCCCCTCTAACCCAGGGAGCTAACCCCTCCGCTTCCTAGCGTTGATGTGAGGTTCTTTTCCATTGGCTGCCTCTGCAGTTATAGTGAGACCCATAAACCCCATCAACGCCAGGTCACACAAGAGACCGGCGCTGACAACTGGAATACTCTGGAATTCAGTGATAGCAATTAATGCAGGTAGCAAACTTTTGTCATCAAGCTTGTGGTGCCATTGATTGTGTGCCCACCTTTGCAACAATCATTGCTTTATGTACTTTATATAGAGCTGTACTTTCAGATATTTCCCATAACATTTAGGTGCAACGTTCCCAACAATCCTAACAACAATAGACATAACTCCTAGCTTTTTGAATCACACATTTACTATTTCTGAAAGAAAAAGCAGTTCAATGATTTTATTTTACCCCCTGCAGTTGTTCTGCATCTCAATTGTCAAGATTTTGACATTATGCCTTACTCATCCATGACAGGTGGTCACTTTAGTTATCATCTTGGTACTTGCTTCTTACTTTTTTGCAACTTTAGATAGTATTATTGTCTTTATAGCCCTCTAACAATGGTTGGGTCTTTGGATTGCATTAGCCTGGTCTTTCAAATGTTGTCGAACGCTTCAATGACCCTTGCCGCCGGCCATCGGACAATTCACCAGTGCAGGATGATTGGGTCTGCAAATTGGATTGCCTTCTGGCCGCTGTTTTTTTGTTTCATTATCAATATCATTTACAAAAGAAAAAAAATGTCAATACAAATACATTTCAACCAATGAGAGAGGGAGATATGTTTTTCCTTAGGTTTTTTGATGAATAGTTAAGGCGCAGGTTTGGGTCGAGGTTGTTGCATTTGTTAATGGCAGATAACGATGATGATTTAGGTGGGCCAGGAGGGATTCTAGGCCCAGGGCGAGAGGGGGGGTTTTATTGGAAGAGTTTCACGGCGGGTGTTAGTCGGCTGAAGGAGGGGCACAGCCATCTGAGTGCCAAGTGTTGCCGGGTCAGCAAGGGAGCCAACAGTATCACTGCCTGGTTCTGCGATTTGGATTTTGTCTTCATTGCCAATGATAGTTGTGAAACGGGCTGCCAAATCAGGGTGCTTGGCCAGGGCGTTCTTGAGATAGACACACTGTTGTTCAGTGAAGGTCCTTGGTGGTGGTTTGATGTATCTTGCTAATCTCCCTACAATCGGCGGGTTGAGTGGCCTTCTAAATTTTCCAATCTTGTACGACATCTGGACTATCACTCCAGGACTGCAATCAAGAAGATCAGGATCATTCAGTCAGAGCCAAGCCACTACAACTCCGTCGGCGCCGCAAAACAATCCACCATTTTAGATCGAAGAATTTCATTTTCAGCCACTTTTTCATCATTGAGTCAACCAAATGCTGCCAATTTGAAAATCTGAAATGTCTTCACCAACTTTTCAGTAAACCTTAGTGTCTCTTCCATCCATTTGGTCATTTCAGATGATTGCCACAATTTGGCCCAATGAGGAGTCCTATCAAAAATGTTCAAGACAGAAGAGCACATCAAATTCCAAAACTTGATGATCTCGGAGGTGTTCAAGGATTGGACGTAAGCCTGATCTCTCAAAAATCCATCAGTGGGTGAGCAAAAGATGCTAATGACATTGTTCATGCATCTCACAAAGGGCCGAGCCAAGCTCATAGCATCGGGTAGAATTCTTGAATGTAGATCAACATTCTTCAAGGCACCTATAAGGCGTTTGAATTCAGCCAGTTGACCCTTTGATAGCAAAGCACGTAAGTGATTGAAAGAAGACTTGCAATCAGACCACTGTTGAACTAAGGCCAGTAATGAGGTGTGCAGGCCATATTTAGGCAAAAAGATTAGAGGAATGACAGATTTGATGATCAAAGTCTCTTTCAGCAATGTTGCAAGGAGTTGTGAACCATACATAGAGCCAGAGAGATAAATCTGTTGAGATACCTGTAACTTCTCATTTCACAGCGTATGCTTCTTTCTGATTTCACTTCTCTCATGTCACACTCTGTGACATTCACCTGTTTTTCTTTCAGTTCATATACTGGAGTCAGTTGTGTTTGGGAGGACTTTCTTTCCTCATCCTTTCCAACACTACTGTCTCCAGGTATGTTCTTTTCTTCTTTTGTTTCTCTCTCTTTCTCCATGTTGAAATGAATCATCCAATCCTTTCCAACGATACTGTCTCCAGTCATCTGAGTTCATCTCAACAGGTTATGAGCACCAGTTGCTTAACAGTCTCAAACTCCTCTTGCTATTCCATCTTGTTTTGTGTCAACTAAAACGCACAAGCCTCATCTGACTCAATTCTCTCAGATACAAGGGATCACTCACCATGGCCAGCACTGAACCGGCCTTGGACTCCAAGACGATGGATTCTGATTTGTCTAACCTTAAGGTTTCCGGAATCGTCCAACTCAAGCCGCAGGGTGCGGACTCCAATTACCTTGATTGGAGCTTTGTAGTCCTCCTTCACCTCAATTCCCTCAGTTTCTCTTACGTTCTCGACCCTGTTGATGAAAAGGAACACTTGGCCGCCTACGTTAAAGACAGCATCGCGGTCTCCTCCTTCATTGCAAGGAAGATCCACCCAACCAACTTCCGTTTCATTTGATCTCATGGCACCAATGCCGCTGCCATGTGGTCTTCCCTTTCTCAAGCCCACCAGGATTTCTCCTCCAGTGGGCGCATGCACTGGCTACGCCAGCTAGTTTTCTCGCGCTTGTTTGGCAATGACATTGACTTGCACATCGAGGCCATGGCCGTCTGTGCAGAGCGTCTCAACTCATTGGTCACACCCAAACAACCGTTAATGGCGGATGATATCCAGTCGACCGCTTTACTCAACTCTCTCACTGATGACTGGCTCCCTTGTGTATCAGCCCTCATGAACGAGGACTCTGTGTCGTCGGCCAGGATTGTATCGGCTCTCAAAGTCAAATTGCTTTGTCGTAAAGCCCGCCGCAAGGAGGATACCTCCATCTCCGTCTTGAAGGCACGCGCCGACCCGCCGAGGCGCAAGTCTTGTTTCAACAAGTGTCTCCACTGCAGCTTCTGCAATCAATCCGGGCACGATTTGTCTATCTGTGTCAATGCCGCACGGGTACTCTTGGAGCACAAAGCAACCCGCTCCTCAGGCAACAGTGGATGATCTCGCCATCCCGATACTTCTCAAGACAATTGACGCCACACAGGCAGCGATCGTCTGTCTGCACGCTCCAACCCTTCTGCTAGACCCCCCGCAACCGCTGGTCAGGTCACCGTAGTTGAATTGGGCTATGACTCTTACGAGGACGAGTCCAACTTCTTGGTCCCTGAGCGCGCTGGCAATGCCATTGTCGACCGTGAAGTGACTGAACTTTTGCATGCTGCCGATGCCAAAATTGACTCGGGGTGCTCAATCTCCGTGACCCCTCATGTCAATACCGTGGACCGCCTCAAGCCAGATTCAACTTCAGTCCGCTTAGCCGACCCCTCTGAAGTCTTTGCCACCTTCCGAGGCTCTCAAGCCCTTCCTCTTTTGGTCAACACACAAGTCCCTACCCTCGTCGTTCCAGGTCTTCACGAGCCATTGCTGTCTGTCGCTGGTTTGTGTGACAAGAACCTCGTGGCCGTTTTCTCCAGCAATTCCTGCGACATCTACAAAGCAGATTCATTTTCTGTTACCGGTCCGATTGTTGGCCGCGGCTATCGCAAGGGTAACCTTTTCTATCTCCCCTCCAACGAGGTAAGATCTTCATCCGCCACCTCAGTTCCATCATCATCCCATGGCTGCTCACTCTTGGATTATCACGTCCAGCTATCTCACATAGGTCTGAAACCCCTCAAACGCCTCATTCGTCAAGCTGAAATCACTCCAACAGTGGCTAACAATATTGAGATCACTCAATGTCCGATTTGTGTGCAGTCAAAAATGCATCGTCTCTCTTTCACCTCTCGTCTCTCTTATTGTTCTCAGTTTCCTGGTCATCTTATTCATTCCAATGTTGGTTCATTTGAGGTTGCCTCCCGCAAGCATTACAAATATTATGTTACATTTATCAATGAATGTTCTAAGTTTGTTTCAATCTTTCCGATGAAATCCAAATCAGAAGTTTTCTCGTGTTTCAAAATTTTTAAGGCATTTTTTGAAAAGGACGGAAAATTCTCAATCCTTGCTCTTTGTTCTGTCAATGGTGGCAAATATGTCTCCAAAGCTTTTGAGTCTTTCCTCCTTACTTCGGGGATCCGTCATGAGCCTGGACCTCCTCACTCCCCATCTCTCAATGGTGTTGCTGAGCGCAATAATCGTACCGTGGCAAATCTCATCTGGTGTTCCCTACTTATGGCAAAACTTCCGAAGAGTTTCTGGGCGGACGCTATGCGTCACATCTTTCATGCTTTCAATTCCATCCCCTGCTATACTCCTTCAGGTTTCCACTCTCCCAACTCTATCTTGGGCCACCCTTCTGTGGACTTTACCTTGCTTCATCCTTTTGGCTGTTTAGTCTGGCACAAAGTTCCCGATGCAACCCAAAAAAAACTCGATCCTAGGGCTCATGCTGCTATTTTCCTCTCCTATCTTGAGGATGGGAATGGATACCTAGTTTGGGATCTTCAGACAAGAAAGGCAATCAAAAGTCGTGATACAATTTTCAATGATGCTACTTTCCCCTACGATCATCAAATCACAGGTCCAGCTCCAACTATCTTTGTAGACCTTCCTTGGGCCGGTCTCTTCCTCCATTCTCACTCCACCTGCCGCCCTCCCACCCGGCCACGGAAATCATTCCTGCTCCAGCAGTCCCTCAGCCACTGACACCTCCCACGTCCCTTCAGCGCATTCCTTTACCTCCCTCCTTCAGGCAACTTTGTAATCCGGAACCACCCATTCCCACCTCTCCAATCACCAGTGATTCTGATGATGGTGGTAAGTTGTCTGGTCTCCCCTCACCAATTCCGCTTCCATCTCCCTTTCTTTGCCCCCAGCTTTGTCCCTTATGGACAACGTTCCCCCCCTCACTCTGCCCATTTCAGCTGCTCCTACGCCTCTTCCGCCTGCTGATCTTTCTCAACCTCCGGCTATTCAGTCATCAGCATCCATACCTCTCCCCGCCTCGCGCCCCCCCACCCCGCCCGTCAGGCAATCTGGCCGTGTTCGAAAATCTCCTGAACGCTACGGAAACTGGGCAAAATCTTCTGCTGTCCCATTTGACGATGTTGATACTCCCAAGACATGGCGCCAACTCCAGAAGTCCCCACACAAGGCCAAATGGCTCCAAGCTGCAAATGAGGAATTCTCCTCTCTTCTTGGTATGGATACATGGAAATTGGTCCCCAGACCTTCAAAACGGAAGATCATCAAGTCGAAGTGGGGTTTCAAAGTAAAATGTCATCCCGACAAGTCCATCCTAAAGTTAAAGGCACGGCTAGTTGCAATGGGCTACTCTCAGGTTTGTAGGGTGGATTATCAGGAAGTCTTTTTGCCCACTCTACGTCTCAAAACACTAAGGCTTATCTGCAGTCTGATGGCGTCAAAGTCGTGGAAGGGACAACAGGTAGACTTCAAAACTGCCTTCCTAAACAGTCACCTGGATCAACCTATCTTTATGGAGCAACCTCCTGGTTTTGAAGATCCTAATCATCCTGATTTTGTTTGTGAGGTTCACCGGTCAATCTATGGGCTTAAACAGGCCCCTCGTCAATGGAATCAGGAACTTCATCAAGCACTTCTCGGGCCTGGTCTCACTCAGTCCAAATATGACCCCACCTTGTACTTCAAGGTTCACAATGGAAAACTCATGGCGGCCATCACCGTCCACATTGATGATCTTGCCGTCGTAGGAGAAGATTCCTTTGTTGACTCAATCATATCCAGCCTTGGCGCAAAATTCAATATTGGGGCAGACGAGGACCTTCATCACTTTCTCTCAATCAAGTTGACTGGTGATCATGATAACAAGTTCCTCTATATGTCTCAAAGTCATTACATTGATGACATGTTTTCTCGTTTCCTCATGCACACACACAGCTACAGAACT